TTTTATCAAAATAATAAATCCATATATACATATTTAGAATTGATAAAAGTGAATTTCGCAAATGGGTTTCAAATACTGAAGGATTGCCTTCTTCATCATATGTATCATCAACTAGTGACTATAATCTTAATGATTATACTACTAGTCGATTTGATCGAGATGAATATAAATGTAGTCGTCAAAGTGCTTCGGACTATACGATTGATAAATATGGTTCATATGGAACTACAACAATTGCTAGGGAATTGATTGATGATACGGTGATTCATACAAATAGTTTGGAAGAAACGAATGAATATCTTGAAAGATCAGGTCATAATATTTATAAGGATCCTAATCCACAAATTATTCGACGAGCAACAACTGAAACTCCAATAACATGTGAACAACGAGTTACTGTTCGATATCTTCAACCACCACCTGTTCCAGAACTAGGAGTAATGAAACAAATGTATACAAATTCAATCTTACTAATTTCTGTATGATTTTAGCCACTCATTATTAAAGAAGTACGTCCTGCCCAGCCACCACCACCTCGACCACTTATCATACGTCAACATACATCACTTGTTTCTACACCGCCTCCACTTATCTTACGTGAACGACCACCGACACCACCGAAATATACTGTCGGTGAAACAGGTTAAAAAAAAACAAATTTAAAGTACATAGATTAGATTGATCGATGTATGTTATTTTACAGTTACTCGTTATTTACCTGAAATACCTGTTCCACTGCGATCAGTTGTCATCGAACGTTTACCACCTCTTCGAGAAAAACCACGTAAAAGAATTATCTTCAGTTTCCTTTTTTGTTTTTCTTTTAATTTCAGATTATTGTTTCTTTGCTATTTAGGCGATATTATAATTGAACGATGGCTTCCATATAGATCTCTATCTCAACGTCGTACAATTGTTGAACGTGCTCCTCCTGCTATAATATATCCAGAACCGCGTAATACGATTATTATTTATGACGCAGCTGAATCACGTATAGTTCGAAAATTTGAAAAACTAGGTGTTGTTCAAGAAAATCCTGCCGATTATATAGCTCGTTATGGGACATCACTTGTAGATTCAGTGACACTTGTTCAACTGGCCCGTAATGCTGGGGTTACTGAAGATATAGTAAAATTTTTTTCCAAAAAAAAA